ATGTGGTCCAGTGAAGGACCAAATGTCAAACCCTTTCTATAAGTACCCCTTCTTGAATGTCCAAGACATCCTGTGACCTGCCCAGCATGACCCAGGAGTCGTGTTTGTATGCCCTCACACACCAGACATATTCCCTCCTTTTGGTTGTGCTGTAGCACAATCAAGGTATACGCCGTGTGTACGTGTGATGCTGCACTCCTGTATTCCTGCATTTCCCGTGAGGTTGAGGCACGCTCACCCAGCAACATCCATTCTCCTCTTGTGGGCCTCCAATCCACTTTGATCCCACAATAAAGACAGAGCCCTTTATAGAATAATGCAGAAGATTAGGCTCTGACAAAATGGTTCTCTGCCAGCAGTCCCAGAGGTGCTCATGGGTGTTAAATCTGTCAGTTTTGTGGGAGGACTTTAGCAATGTAATTAGTGGTTTGTTTGGGATGTGCCAGTGAAATCGAAAATGACATGGGTGTGGCTGAATTTGGGTGGAGGGATGGCCAGGGGTGGTTAGTTTCCCTGTTGAGTGAACTGCTTTGGAGAGAGATGTTCTTTGTCTTCCAGGCAAACATCTTGTTGTGAATCACATGGGTTTTTAAACCCCTTTTTATTTTGAAGGCTTTAGATATGGGCACTTACAGGTCAGCGAATCCTCCGTACTTTTGTCTGGAATATTTTTGAAGTACATTTCTCAAATACTTCATCAAGACTTGATCGTTGGCCTCTTCTCACGTCGAGTGCCCACACTAAGAGCCAACCTTGTCAAAAGCTGTGCCGAGTTGGGTTTTAAGCCTTCTGCCATTTAATAACGTAATGAAAGCTAATCTCTCCCTTGCTGTGCTTTTTCATTTGTTGTGTTCAAACCCCATTCACTTATGATGGGTTTACCTAAAAATTATTTTCGTTCAGTCTTTGCTTCATAGGACTTTTCTTTGGGTCTGTTTTTTGAGTGGGAGCTACTTGAAGTTTTACCTTCAAGGCAGAGGAATGCAATTTCCAGCTCAGCATTGTTTGACACAGACACAGAAAAAGGACCCATTTTTGTCCTGGCTTTAGTCTAAAGACCTACATAAGAGGTCATTATATGAGCGAGGGGACGCTTGGCTTTGATGAGAAAGCTGCCGCAAGAAAACTCAGCCGTTCAGCAAGCCCCCTTCCGCCGAGCGTTTCAGCAGGACTGTTTACTCTGACCGGCGACATCCGGCTTGGCTTCTCACCCAAATCTGGTCATTCCCAGTGTGCCAGAAAGAAAGAAAGAAAGAAAGAAAGAAAGAAAGAAAGAAAGAAAGAAAGACAGACAGACAGACAGACAGACAGACAGACAGACAGACAGACAGCGATCCTGAGCATGATGTAGCTAGGTGAGTCGGTAGCGTTCAGGCCCAATGGGATTTCCTTCCAGTGGATTGGAAGGAAATTACATAGGATTGGAGGACACAGTCATTCATTTAAAGTGATTCCTCGGCCCTCTTTATGGGTGGAACCTTTCAGGGCAAGGTAGAAACAGTACAGAAACACGATCCACAAAAATGCGTTCAGCCACAAAAAACAATAAATTGGGTGAGGAACCTGTGCTCTGCCAGACGTTGGGCTCCATCGTCCATCACCCACCCATTGGCCGGGCTGGCTGGGGCTGCTGGAGTCCAGCAACATCTGGGGTCTGACCACAGGTTCCTTACCTTTGATATCACCCATGGAACGCTCCCGCGAAACCGAAGAACTCACACACAGAGGAGAGTTTGCCTGCCGTGTCTCTGCATGATTGATTCTCTGGTTTTGCTTCGCCTGCGTCTGCCCGCCCTCCCGCTGCTTTGCAGCCGAACCGATCCACCCTTGCCAAGGGGTTCCTCTGCAATATGTTTCCCATTTAGACACCATCCATTTTAAGTGTGTCTTGGGAGTTTGAGGAGAAATGCCTGCCGTGTTGTCCTTTATTAAACGTTTCATAATTCCTTTGGTGGCGTGGCCTGGCTTCAGATCCTACACAACTGACTCACGTCTTTGGCTTGGCCAAAGAACTCGGGCTCAGCTTATAATAAAAAGAGGTGTCCTGTTTGCTTCTGTCAAGGGTTGGAGGCTCTTTGCTGCAAAATAACCCTCTGTGGAAAAACCATAACTGCTGGCAGCTTGGTGGAATTGTCCTCCTTGCCTGCTTTCAAGATTGGTTTTTTCCTATGAAGAACATCGGAAGCTGCCCTTACAGCAGGTCTGTCCTGTGATTATGACCCAGGGCAGCGTTGTCCAGAAGCCTCCTCCGGCCTGGTGCCCTTCAGATGCGTTGGTCTTCCACTCCAGTCAGCCCTTGCCAGCATGGCCAGGACTTTGAGGGGCCATCTTCCAACACCTGGCGCATGCCCAGCTGAGAGCTAACTGCCTGCAGCCTCACAAGGTTTCAGAGGAGGTCTTTCCCACCCCAGCTCTACTGGGAGATTGCTGGGTTCAAACCAGGGACCTTCTGCAGGCACAGCCGGTCCCCTCCCCTGCATGTCTTGGGCCATTGCTACATTAACACATTCTTTAGTGGTCCCTGGATTCTCTGGAGAACTCTGCCTGAAACCCCTTCCCTCTGGAAAGATCTCTGCCATCTGGCATTGGAGTGGCTTTCCCTTGCATCAGCGTGTTCTAGAGTTCCTTGCCGTGCTAGATAGCCCAAGAGGGTTGGGTGTCCTGAGGAACCAGTGCTGGTCTTCTTCCATTTGCTTTTTGGCTCTGCTTTCTTTAAGCTGATACTAAGTAAATATGCTGATTTAAAGATCTAGGATCCTTTTTGTTGTAGTTTTTTTCAGCGAGAGTGGGAGAGATTGCAAGAGAACCTGGGCGAGGTTGATTGGCTCAAAAAAAGGCAGAAGGGCTTGCTTAGAATTTGGGTCAAAATTGGCTCAGGCCTGCTTCTATTTTGTTTAGGATCCTCTGTGAATACTTAAAACGGCTGGTGGGGATCTATTCCGAGACTTGTTTGGACTGTAGAACTGCCTGTGGGACTGCTTTATTATGCTCTGGTTTCTTTCCCCCAGGATAACAGCTAATCTTTTGTGACTGTGAGGTTGCCAAAGGCTATGGGTGCTCACTGTCTGTGGGGGATGTCTCAGTGTCCCCAAAATTAGCCAAAAAGGATGCTGATTTGCATGACATGTATGTGTGCTTGTTTATATGTGGAGGTGCACATTTTGACAGAGTAACTCAGATTAAGAAAGGCACCCAGCGTCTGTTGCTGAAGTATGAAGGCAGGGCGCATTGCTCGGATGACTGTCCGACTTCCCCAGCCATATCCTCTGATGCTGTTCTCCCTTTATACCAGACTTGGTCTGGTCAGATGTCACCTTCAAATAGAGAACCGTCTTCTCTCAGGTAGGGCCCTTGCTCTTTTCTGACCATCTTCGAATTTTCCAGGTCCAGTTAGGGTTGCACAGACCAAACAAGCCTTTGCATTTGAACTGCTGGTTCTGAATTCTCACCCGCTTTAGCACTCCTGGTTTTCGATTGTTCAGCGTTCTACCTCCTGAAGGCCTCCTTTTTAACTTTTTAAGCACAGGCCACATCCAAAGCTTTGGCATGGATCTGTCATTTTTGCTGGTGATTTATTTACCTCTCATTTTTCATGTTTCCCAAGGATGAAAAATGAGTAACCATTTAATATATATCTTGCCTGCTGTTTAAAAAAAAAAAAAAGAACAAAAATCAAGAACAAGAAAACAAAAACCCAGGACACAAGGCCAAATTCAATTAAAAAATTACACCCGGCTCCTGTGGTTTTTTTGCAGCAATATTTTTTCCTGCACAACCATTTTTGCTTTATTGAGCTGGGCCCTTGATTTAGCCAGAAAACCTTTTGAGTCATTCTCAAGCTATTGAGTTGCTTGATGCAATATTAAATTCCTTGCAAAATTCCTGGCTTTGCATTAATAGGAAGATCAAACTTTTGACCCCAAAGTTTGAACCCTAACTTTTAACCCTCTTCTGAACCTTCTGCTCTTCAGAAATTAAATCATTTCTTCTGTTTTAAATCTGCTAAGAAGGGGGAGGGAGGTAGAACCGGGACATGGCACTGGAGTTCTGCTGTCCTCTAAGTGTTACAACACCCACCCCCCCAGCTTTGGAGAGTTAAGCAGGCATTGCCCAGAGTTCCGGTTTGCCCCTTCAGGAAGCTGAATCCTAAGCTGAGTACCACTTTCAGCTGCAGCGTTCACAGAGTCCTTAATAAACACTTTGTGGGCGGGGGGGGGGCAAGCCAAGGGTTGTGCCCCAGGGTTCTCTGCAGTGGTGCAGTGGATCCGGAAGGCGTGGCTCAGCCTGCGATGGCTCCTTCGGTGCTGGCATTGCATGGGGAGGCAGTGGGACACCCTGGGGTCCTCTGTGGTGCTGGAGGAAGATGCCGAGCGGCCCCCTCGGCGCGTTCCTTCCCCCTGCAAGCGGCGGCGTCCCAGCTGTGCGCCCTCGGCTTAGCTACTGCTGCTGTCTTTCATTTACTCGGATCAAGGCAATGGGGTGATCTCGCAGGGCTTCCTTTCCACCGCGGACCTTCCCTCTCCTCCTTGTGGCGAAGATGGGAGGGTTCAGCACACAAGAAGGTGTGGAGCGCTTGCTTGGTGTGGGATGGGAAGGGCAGTTACACCTTGGTTTCGCTCTCTGTGACCGAGTTATCAAGGGACTGGGCAAGGGGATCGAAAAGCAGCAATGGGTGTATCTGGAAGGGAGAAAACGTTAACCAGTGCACGGCTTTAATTTTTTATGTGTAAGTTTGTGGTATGGCACTTTGGGTCTGTTTAGAGGAAGGTGTTTAAGAAATTAGGACTCACGGTGCTGACGGATTCTACAAGTGATATCCTTTAGGACTGACTGAGTTTTGAGGGAATGAATGAATGGCTGGCTGGCTGGCTGGCTCTGTCCCCCAGGGATTTTTCTGGTCCCCTCCACCCTGGCCCTTGGCCAATTTCCCCTGTCCTGCCACAGCTTCTTAACTGTGCTCTTTGCTTTCCCCCCCTCACCAACCCAACTGGCTACCGCAGGTGCAAGACATTTCCTTCAGCCACGACTGCCGCTGGGTGGTGGTCAGCACCCTCCGAGGGACCTCCCATGTCTTCCCCATCAACCCATATGGAGGGCAGCCCTGCGTCCGCACTCACATGTCGCCACGAGTGGTTAACCGCATGAGCCGCTTCCAGAAGAGCGCGGGGCTGGAGGAGATCGAGCAGGAGCTGACGACCAAGCAAGGGGGCCGCTGCAGTCCCGTCCCGGGGCTGTCGAGCAGCCCGTCTGGCTCGCCTCTCCATGGTAGGTGCTGCTTAAACTTCTTGCCTCGGTGGAGCAGATTATCTCGTACAGCAGGACCCTCTCCCATTCCGTTTAAGAGTCTCGAGGGCACATTCCTTGGATGGGAGGAGCCAAAGGCAAGGGGGCAGGTACAAAACGCTACAGATGCCAGCTCTTGGCAAGCATTTCATTTCATTTCATTCCTTTTTTTTTTGAATAAGTTTTATTCTGAATAAACCTAATACAACGAAAAACTAAAAACAACGTCAGCCATCAGAAACATCGGACCTACTGGGTCAGCCCCCACATTTTTTCTTTTTATGTTAACTTGTAAACCTATTTAAATCTATGAGAAGCCCCGTTTCTCTAGCCAATAGTAAAAAGAGTCCCAGGTTTGATAGAAATCAGTGTCTTCTTTCTCCTTCAGTGGCAAAGTCAATCTGTCCATTTCTGCACAGTCCAAGATCTTTTTTAGGATCAGTTCCTCGGTGGGTGGTTCTTCACTTTTCCAGTGTTGGGCAAATGCAATCCTCGCCACAGTAATTACATGTAAAATCAAGTACATTTCTTGTTTCCTAATATCAGGTATGATGCCTAATAAGAAAACTTCAGGTTTAAAATCTAAGGACTTTTGTAACCTTTCCTCAAACCATGTATGTATTTTAATCCAAAACTTTTTCGCTTTATCGCAAGTTCACCACATATGATCGAAAGTAGCATTTTGTTCTTTTAGAAGGAGGGAGGAGAACAGCAAAAGAGCCAGGAAACAGCCAGTGAACTGTCAGGAGAAATAGGGTGGGGCCAGAGAAGAGGCGTGTGGTTCTTTGGGGAGCCCCGGAGGGCTGCATGAGGCTGGATTTGGTTGTTTTGCCCGAGGTTCAGCGGCCCTGCTATGCAGTGTGGGGAAGGTCCCTTTTTCCTCCAAAGGGCCTCGGGAGCTGCAGCCAGTGGTGGCCATGCCAGAGTGGGAGTGCCGCCTGCTCTGCTCCTTGCCCCCTCTCACACACACACACGAGCCGAGCGGAAGAGGAAGCTGCTTGCCTAGGTGGGCAGCTTGGGGGACAGGAATGAGCCTGGGCATCGGGGAGGCCCTGCTGAGGCTGCAGGCGTGAAAAGAGGCCCAGGGCTGCGGTCTTCCCACCAGAGCTCTCCCGGAAGGGCAAGCCAGAGGTGGTCCGGCAAGGGTGGGCACTCTTTAGTGCCCTGCATCACAGGAGGAAAATAAGAAAAGGTTTTAGAGTTTGGACCCCCTGGGTTTAGCTTTCTCTGTCCATCCTCTGGCTGACGTTTCAAGGCATTTACCTGACGGTTATATTGTTCATTAGTCACAAATAGAGTCGCATATGGACATCCTGAAGACAAACATTTATTGTTTTGCAAGGAAATGAGAAAAGCAGCTCAAAGTTGAGCTCACGGGAAAGTTAGGCTTGTTTCGGTTTTGTTTTTCTGCTTTGCGTTCATGGATCTCTTCCACGATCCTGCAGTTGCTCAGAGAGGGGCGTTGCTTCCTCCTACCCTTACCCCCTTGTGCCGTGCCAAGGGAAGCTGAATCAGATCCTGGATGCTTTGTACCAATTAGCACAATTGTTCTGTTGCATGCTTTGTTCTACCTGGACATCGCAGTCAGCATCTGGGGCCTTCCTCTGAAAGCCCCCTCCAAGGGAGGCTTGGAAGAGGGCGGGAAGGGAGAGTATTCCCCCCACACACACTCTCACAGAAGGATCTTCCCACTGAGGCCCACCTAGGACCATCTCTGTCTTCTCCTTGGTGCCAGGTTAACACTCCCACCTGCTCCTAGGTATTCAGTGAAGAGGTATTTATGCCAGGTGTCTTGAACAGGTCTAGTGTTTTACTGAAAGTGGCTTTAACAATTCAGATAGCTTTTGAGTTTCGTATGTTGAGATTTTATGATGCATTTTTCTAATTCTGTCGTTCGCGATTTGGGGAACGGTGGACTGCCCAGAGAACATCAGCTGCTTAGAAGTATGGAAACACTGATGGTGGCGATGGTCATACAGCTTGGCTGTTGTGGGGAAGGGCAAGGAGATAAGCCAAAGTCTTCTCCATATCCTCATGCAATTAAGCTGTATGTGTAACTACGTATTCTAGCATTAGCACCTGCCTCTCTCCTCCCCATTTCTCTTTCCTCTTCTGCATTGAATTTTAACTCATAAGCTCATCACAACAGGGATCTGTCCTCTCAGAGAAAAGCTGGGAGGAACCCGGGAGTGGCTTTTTGTGTGGAAGGGACTGCAAGCTCAGCGGTGGCACTCAGACCGCATTCTGACCTGAGCACACGCTTGGTGGGTATCCAGTTCCTTCTTTCTAAGTCCGCTGCCCACTCCTTCAAGTGGAGCTTTGCACCTTCGAGTTGCTGGGCCCTGGGGTCTTAGCGGAGAGAAAAGCAGTCTTCCAAAGTTGACCTCTGCCCATGCTGATTAAACCTCCGGGGGCCAAGCATTTCGTTCTGCCAGGCTTGGATCAAGAGCAGGCCTCGGAAGTGCAGTTGTGGCCTCGGCGGAGTTGGCCATTTTGCTTCCTGGTGGCTTCCTCTCCTGTGCAAGATGGCCAGCGAGAGCTTTACCACCCAGCTTCTCCAGAGATGCAGCCTAGCTTCCTCCTTGCATTACGATGCAGCCATCAAGTGTGACATGCTTGGAACAGACACCAGATTGCTGCAAACCATTATTATAACACATCCAATCATTTTTAACTACTGACATCGTATAGAGAACAGGAAGGAGCGATCAGCGTCTGCAGCTTTCATCCATCGGGTGTCTGTTTTTTCTCAAGAGGGAGCTACAGTAAGTTGTCGCCTTTATAGGTTTTCCAAACACATTTGAAGCTTTTTCTTAGTAAATAGACGTGAGCGTTTGATACTCAAGAAGCGTCTTGAGAGGTTTCATTTGGTTTTGATTAGCAAGGCCCAGAAATTTCAGGGGTGGACCAATAGCTATTCTGAAACTGGTAAAAACTATGAAAGGGAGAGCATGGAATTTTAAAAGTGATTCTTAAAACAGGGCTGGAATAGCCCTCCTTGGGTTTTAGAGGGCTATCCCAGTCTCAGGAGTGTTTGAGGCAGGGGGAAATCTGAGTTCTTCAAAAGTTTGAGCCTACTTCACCTTCATGCAAAGCTGGTCATGCCATTTCACGGCATAGATTTGTGTTTTCTTATTTTGTTATACTAATCAAAAACGGCCCCCCAAATTTTCCACCCTGCATGTGTGGGAGCTTTTAGCTGAACATTCTTGCAGGGGAGAGGAGGACTCCAGCAGTTTCTCTCATCCCTGGAGCCTGAAGAATTCTTGGAAAGTTATCCGTTAACTAATTTCAGCTCAGTTTAAAACTGACTGCTTCTGTTTGCAAGTAACAGTAAGCCGTGATTTGGCGTAACTGTCTTTTGGTTCTTTAGATATGAATTGTCTTGCAGAGGAGCCAAGAAACTGCAGGCTGTTTATCCTGTTCCTCATTAGCTTCCATCTGGCCCATTTTGCCAGCCTGCAGGGCAGCTTCATTCTCAGGCTCCTCTGAGTTTGAGTTTGGCCATCAGAACAAGCCATGATTTAAGCAAGCCACACTTCATCAGCCAACATGGCTTCTTCTTGTGGTTTGCAACTGGTTAACAAACCATGATATACTTATGTATTTGTCTCATGTGCATTCCAACAGCTGAAGCTTTCTGGGTGGCTCACAACCCGCTCATACCCACCTTGGGGCTGGCTGGTTGAGAACAGGTCGCTTGATAAGATGGCAGTGCTCGTGTCCTCATGTGGACTAGGAACGGGGTCTTCACCCTGGGAGGCTACTTACCTCTCAGGGGCAAAAGGAGGCCGCTGCTGCCCTGCCCTGCATGTGAGTTTCCCAAGATGCATCTGGCCATCCGTTATGGGAAGCAGGATGCCGAGATGATGGATTCTCAGTGTGAGTGTCATCTTACTGTTGCTGTTCCAGCAGCTATGAGCCAGGGCCATCCCTGCAGGTCACTCCCTGCAGGTGCCACATACCCCTTTCCTCCAAGCCCGGGGTCCCAAGAATCGTGTCTCTGGAGTACGAATGACATGCGCGCTCCATGTGACTTGTTTTCCCTCCTGCTGCCCTTTATCTTTTGAGTGCATTAAACAGAGCGGGGAAACAAATCTATTTATGGTTTATTCTGGTCCCATCTCTAAATTGTTTACTCGTGCAATGTAAACCTTTTATTGGGGTGGGAATCCATCGCACAATAAATGAATCACTTCTGGCGGGCTCCCTGCATTCATCCCCGTTGAGCAGGAAGGCAGTAAAGGAAACGGTTAACAAGCATCTGATAAGAAGATAATTTCCTTTGCACCTGGGATCTTTTTTTGTTGCTGGAGTTGTTAAATCTTTTGATCCCACCCTGCCTTTCTTTTTTTAAAATTTTGGCCATTCAGGAGGGTTGCCAGGGATGGCGGAGCTGAGCCGGTGCCCTTTTCAGGGGAATGAGGCCGTGCCACTGGGCTGGATGAGTGCACAGTGCCAAAACAGACACTCTGCTACCTGCCCGAGCAGCAGGCTTCCACTTGGTGGGATCAGCCGCAGGGCATCCAAGTGGCGATGCGGAGGCCTTGGGACAGCGCAGTCTCATGAGGGTTGTGCTTTGGCCCCTAGGAGATGCGGGGAGAGCCCAGTCCGGCCCTTGTGCAGCCCCTCGCAGGCCACAGCCCTTTCCTCCCACGGGTAAATGCGCCGTGTTTCCCCGGCTTCTGCACAGTTCCGTCTCCACGCTAAGAAGTCCAAGTGCCACTCCTAAGGCTCAGTTCCTGGCAGTCAGACCTTTCAAGCTGTAATATGTTGGGAGTCTGGTCCTGTCCTGTTTGCCTTTGGCCCACGCCACGGGCCTTCCGCATCGCTGGAATGCAGCTCCCGAAAGCTTCTCCGAAGTAGGATTTGCCTTTGGGCTGAAAGACGTTCTGCACCCTCCACAGAAAACAGACAAAAGGCTTGCTTCAGCTTAGACATGCCACAGTCAGTCGTCTGATGGAGACGCCGGATTATTGTGC